GAGAGAAAGAAAGAAAGAAAGAGAAAGAAAGAAAGAAGTTCTACTTTTTTTGTGGGGGTACCAGGAATCAAACTCAGGTGCTGTGCCACTGAGCTACATCCCAAGCCCAATTCTTCCTACTTAAAAAAAAAGAAAAAAAACACTCAAAAGATATATAATAAATATGTACTGAATAAATAAATGAGAAGTGGAGGAAAGAGAAGTCTACAATAAGCTCAGGCATTGATATAATATTCCTTGATAAGACTATCAATATCAGAGGGTGTTTGTTTGTTTGTTTGTTTTCAGAACCAAGGATTGAACTCAGGCCCTTGTGCTTGCCAAGAAAGCACTTATCCTACTGAGCCATCTCCCCAGCCCACCAGAGGTTGTTTTTTTTTTTTTTTTTTAACAGAAAAAAAATTAATTGGAAAGTTAGAGAAAAAACCTCCAGCATAAGTAGCTGGAGAACGGACATTCACACTGGGACGAGAATGGTTCACCCACAAAGGTAGGAGACCCGCTTTCAAAGATTAGCTAGTAGGCTGCAGTCCACTTGACCTCACTCATAGACTCATAGCTCTGGAATCTTCTTGGCTGAGGGATGGTTCTGTTCCCAGGAAAGGCCAGTCTCTGCTGTGAGGCCCTGGTCCTGTGGGGCTTGTTATTTTCTGGAATCCAGGTGATCACAGATTTAGGACAGTGGTTGGAGACTTCTGGGGATAGCCGAATGTCCCACAAGTCCCTTATTGTGGTGTCTCCAGTCTTGAAAGAGGATGAGATCATGTAAATACAGGGCGAATCAACCCTGTCTAGCCAGCCCGTAGGCAGACACCCCCAAAATGATCAACACACCCATATAAGAAATGAGAAGAGAGCTGACTCAAGATTTACAGAAAGGTAGAAGGCAAAGTGAGGGTCAAGCTGGACATCTGTAGGCCTTCAATATAAAAGTCATACTTAACATTTGGTCACTTGACCATGTCGCTTTAAGAAGTAAACCCTAACCATTCTTGTGGTCTCTCTCATGAATTAAAGAGGGAACATCAGTTTCATTTTTCAGGTGAGAAAACCAAACTCCAAGAGACTGACTTGCCCAAAGCACACTCAAGTTCGTGATTTCCAGTTATCTGACTTTCTTCTGGTTTAGTTGGTTTGGTTTGGTTTGGTTTTTTGAGACAGGGTCTCATGTGTAGTCCAACCTGGCCTTGAACTCATAGCAATCCTCCAGCCCCAGCCTCCAGAGTTCTGGGATTACAAGCACCACCACACTCAGCTTTTTTCTGTTTTATCTCATACTTATTTTGATCACTGAGGCCAAGAAGTCAGTTCTGGTGATCTCATTATATGGCGTTGGGGCCGGGGAGGTGGCTCAGTGGAATAAGCGCTTGCCTGGCAAGCGCAAGGGCCTGAGTTCAATCTCTTGTTCTGCAAAACAAAAAAAAAAAAAAAAGACTCTGGATTCAATTTCCAGCATAAAGAAAATATGCCAAAATTTAGTTGAGGATAGTAAAACACACCTAAAACTCAGCACTTAAGGCAAAAACAGGATGATCACATCATAAATTCAAGGCCTGCTTGAGAAATTTAGTGAGACCTTATCTCTAAAAAAGGGTGGGGAGTGGGTTGTTGAAAGTAATCTGTGGTTGGGGCTGGAGAGATGGCTCAGTGGTCTAAAGCAC